ATTATTTTTTAAGAGTAATATTTTTTAAAGCAGCATAATTAAAAAAAAGCGGCAAATTTAAAATAAAAGACACAAGACAATTTATTGACGTTAAAAGTACATAGAGTGCGTCCGAATCGAGCGAGTTCGTTTTACTCAATTACCTAGGAACTTGGAATTACCTAGGAACTTGGGATCATAATACTCGGATTACTCGAGCTCGGAAACTTCTTATTCGACTGACTCCGATAGAACCGAGTATTTTTATGCCCCTAATTTTTTGTTTCGTTATTGTTTCGTTATCGTTCTTTAACGTCTCGTCAGCTAAGTTAGTAGAGATTGGTGTAATATCTTATCAAGATTTAATTACTGCTTTTCTAATTTATATTTTAAGCTAAAATACATATAAAAAGGAAAATAATTCTTTTAATAAATTTATTAAATATTTTAGATGATTCATTCATTCAACTACTATTTCATTATTCTCGACACATATGAAAAAAATATGTATACATATACTATACTCAACCACAATATTAGTAATGATAAAACCCTCAAAATGATTTCAAGCAAGAGTCATTTATTGTGAATAGAATAATAAAAGCAGAGAACGTTGCTTTAGTCAATAAGGCCAAAAACCAAGGCAAATAAAACAAACAAACAACCACCCGCTTTTTTTTAATTTTATTTATCATACATAAGTATGTATGTGTACATTCTCGGCTATTTCTCTCTACTATATTTTTTTAAATATAAAGATATTATTATAAATTTTTTGCAAATATATGAAAGATAAATTTTCTTAACTTTTCATTTCCGAAATATTTAAATAAAAATTTTACATAATAAAATATATAAACATTTGTTATTTTGTCAATATTTTATCAAAAAATAAAATTATTTAACTATTTTATCATCAAAAATAAATTTCTAAATATTTCTGATCTCCTTAAACGACACACCTTTTTTATTTAAAATATTTATTTTCTTTCTTTTTAAGAATTATATTTTTTGATGATTCATTTATAAAATTTCAATATTTTCTTTAAATTTTATAAAATAATTTTTTTTTCAAATTTATAAATATTTTATTTAAATATTTTATAATTCAGAAATTAATTTAATAAATATTTATTAAAAGAATAAAATGAATACTGTTGAAGGACCTGTAAGTATTCAAATAATGTAATTAAGAACTTCTAAATATTGTAAAATCACAGCTGTTAATATCTAAATTAATAAAAAAATTTTTATTAAAATATATTTTCTAGCCCCCACAATTAATTTTCATTTATATTTTTTTCAATTTTAGCCAATTCCTTTCAACTTCCCAATCCCTGGAGGTCTACAAACTGGCTCAGAAATAATTTTTCAAGGAGCTACATACAATGGAGGGTTCCGTGACTTTTGCGCCGAGAACATTTGCGCCGCGACTTATGCGCCGCGACTTTTGCGCCGCGACTTATGCGCCGAGCGACTTTTGCGCCTGGGGACTTTTGCGCCGCGACTTTTGCGCCGGGCGACGTTTGCGCCGCGACTTTTGCGCCGGACGACTTTTGCGCCGCCACTATCATTAATATAATGAAAAACTACAGCCGTACCTCACTATAGAAGTGTAGGATAGTTGGAGATCTTCGGATATCAAGATCCGGATCCGATATTCTACCTAAAATATTCGGCTATCCGGCTTTTTTCAGATCTGGATATCTGGACCCGACAATTCTACACTATAGTGCACCCACTTTTGGCAGAAAATCATGCCTGAATAGGGGTAGCAGACCAAATATCTTGATCCGAAAAAGTCAAGTTCTTTGAAGATTACCCCTCTAGGGTGTCGGTTCATTTTTCAACCTTCCTCTAGGGGGTCGCTTAATTAGAGGGGGCTATTGTACTTCCAGAAATATTGTACTTCGTGAAAGTCCTTCAGCTACTGGATACCATTTTTTAAGAAGTACACTATAATTAGGTCCGACTGTAGATATTATTTTTTTAAATTTATGGCGGCGCAAATGTCGCGGCGCATAAGTCGCCCGGCGCAAAAGTCGCGGCGCATAAGTCGCCCGGCGCACAAGTCGCGGCGCAAGAGTCGCGGCGCAAAAGTCGCCCGGCGCATAAGTCGCGGCGCAAAAGTCGCGGCGCAAATGTTCTCGGCGCAAAAGTCGTGATACCCAATGGAGAACGAAAACGTTTTCATATTAATTTATTGGGTGAAGGGGACAATGTTGTTTTACATTTCAATCCTCGATTTAAATTTCTTGAAGTTAACATTTTTTAATCGAAAAATTAAAATTTTAAAATAAAAATTTAAAGGATACAATTGTTTTGAATAGCAAAACATATGCTGGTTGGGGTAAAGAGGATAGACATCGAAATCGTTTAAGTCTTGGTGACAGTTTTCGTATTCGTTTGGTTTGCCATCACTCTCATTTTCTTATTCAAGTTATTTTTGAAAGAAATTATTATAATGAAATGATATTTAAAGGTAAATGATAAAGAAGTAACTAATTATGAGCATAGACTTAGTCCTTCAATGGTTAGAGGACTTGAAGTAGATGGTGATATTTCTCTTCAACGTGTTCAGATGATTAACTTTCCACATCGTAATTTATTTTTTGATGTGTTTGGGGTTTGAGAAAAGATGAAATTTCTCTTGGGGTTAACGTCTAGGTGCCGGGGTTCACTTAAAAGATTAAAAAAAGTTAAATGATAAATAATAAAGTATATGAATACAAATAATCAATTTAATTTTAAGCACCAAACCCAAACCCACAATATCCATATCCTTCACCATATCCACAACCACAATATCCACCACCAGCAGCTCCATACGATCCATTAATGAGTACAAGTAATCCAATGCCTACAAATATGCCCCCAATGCCACCAAATGCTGGATGGAATCCACAACAAAGTTCTCCATATCCACATCAACAAAATTTGAGTCCTTATCCAAACAATAATGTAAAATTTTAAATTGAAAAAATATGTAATATGAATAGAGTTGTACCCCGACCCCGTACCCCGAACCCCGACCCCGTTCCCGAACGATTTTTTCACGATTCTCCCCGACCCGAACCCCGCCCCGAAACATTTCGAAAACCCCGTACCCCGATAATAAAAGTTTCGGGGTTATCGGGGTTTTATACACCCAAAAAATGCCATTTTTGTGAGAATTTTAAGAGAAAAATTTTAAAAATTTCCTCACAATTTACTTTGCCTTTATTATTTTTGAAAGAAAAATGAATGAAATACATATCAAAATTTTCTTTCATTCTTAATTAAGAGACTTGTGGTTGAGTGGCTTAGTTGTTGGTTTTAGCCTATATTTCCATTAATATAGGATTGGGTTCGGATCCATATAAGGAGAACTCTTTTGTTTTTATATTTCTTTACAAAAACAAATTATTAACGAGTTAAATTTTAATTTTAAAATATTAATTTTATTTTTAACTGATATCCCTTGAACGACCTTTAATCCTTCAAACCCCTTGTATCACCAGTAAGGAGTTCCCAACCATAACAGTTGGAAAACTATCGAGGTCCTGTTAACGGGAATCAGAGATATAAAGGAATTTGTAGTATATCGAAGAATTAAGGAGTTATAAAGGGATTTAAAGGGATATAAGGTTTAGATTAAAATGGATTTGAAAGAATTACGTGAATTTAACGGAATTAACAAGGATTTCGTGGGAGATTTAAGGATTAATCCAAGATATCTCCTGATATCCGTCCAAATACCCTTATCCGCAATACTTCAATATTCTTATTAATCACTGATATCCCTTGAAACAACAAAAATCACTCCAGATCACCTTGCACCCCTAGATATACCATTTAATCCCTAAAAATCCCGCTTAATCCCTCCATATCCACTTATATCCCAAGTTATACACTTTAATCCCTTCAAATCCCCTCTAATTTCTCCAAATCCTACTTAATTTTTGAATAAATTAGCGAAAATATACCGAGATCTGATTATTTTTGAGCATTTTTTTCTCTAAAAATTTTTTCCCTAAAACCCCGTACCCCGACCCGAACCCCGGTCATATTTTGCTCCCCCGACCCGAACCCCGCCCCGAAACAATTGGAAAACCCCGTACCCCGACATACCCGCCCCCGAACGTTCGGGGTACAACCCTAAATATGAATAATAAATGGATATTTATGTAATTGAAAAATTGAAGAGATTTTTCTGGAAATTTCATGATTAAAAATTGAGAAAAAAATCGAATCAAGCCAAACTCTAAAAATAATGAATAAATAATTACATAAATATTAATATTTTCAATCATTTTATAATTTAGTTAGGAGGGCCTCGTTATCCTTATTGACCACCAAATACTCATTGCAGTTCTTCTGGATGTCATCGGTGTGGATATTAAAGATAATATGAATTTATTTGGAAAAGAAAATAAAAGTTAAAATGTTAAAAATAGACAAACTGTGTTAATTATGTTTTTACGTAATTGATAAACTTTTCAAACCAAGTTGATTTATTTAAAGTTTTTTAAAAATCATATCAAACAATTTTTTGTCTAAGTTTATTTTAAAATAAAAAATTAAAGTTAAAAAATTTTAAAAATTCTTGTTTTATTAGTTAATCATATGTATATTTAATTTAATTATCACATTCCTTTCAATAAAGTTTGTCCAATTTAATAATATAATTAAATTTTGGCTTTTGTTTAAGTCCACGAACCTTTTAAAAATTAATTAAATTTAATTTAAATATTATTTAAAAAACAAACAGTTATATACTGAACATCTTGTGCCGGCATTTGATGTTCATAAAAATACCAATTTCCACCAATTTTATATCTCCAAATATATTTTGCTGTTCTAACAAGAATATTTAAATTAAATTCTTCTCCGACATTTAAGTTTGGGTATTCATGATTATGCCAGCATTTATTATCGAATGTCTTGTTTTGTGATAGTTTATCACAATTTGGAGGCAACCATTGTTTATTCTATTTTAAATATAAAAATATTTTGATTAAATATAGTAAGTTTTAGCAAAAGTTAAGCCACCGTACAGGATTCGAACCTGCGACAAACTTGCAGTTATCGCTAGGCACTTTCGCTCACCGCTTACAGGAGCTCTACCACTGAGCTACAGGGGCATCGACTAATGCTCTAGGTGAATTTAAATGCTCTAGGTGAATCATTCTTAACATATTAAAATTTGCGCGAATTGGAAAAAATGGGGAATTAAAGATTATTTTGCTTGGGTGGGGAGTGTCAGTCATTTAACAATTAAGCTTACTGAATATGATCCAACAGTTGCATTCTCTTGCGTAATGTTAAGTTGGAATATAGTTTGGCCAACTTTATAAATATTTAAAATTTAAAACATTTAAATTAACAACTAACTAAATTCATGCCATTCAAGTGCTTGATGTAAAAAACTAATTGAAATAGTTTTATTAATTATTATTCCTTCAATAAATATTAAACTTCCATCTCTCAAATAATTATTGTCTGGGACGTGAATAATGTTTAAGGGATATTTAAAAGAACTCAATAATCTTTTGCATTTTTCATTTTCTTCTCCAAATTGTATTTGGTCAATATCTCCTTTTATCTTTAGAGTTAATTAATTATAAAATATTTCTAAAAAAACTTGCCATAATCCATTCAGTTGCCCAAACTGGAAGTCTATGTTTATATAAAATTTTAGCTGCAGCCTGGTTTATTGTTATATTAAAATAATTTTTTGTTACAAAAATTTTTATAGAAAAATAAATTCCAGTTAGGCCTATCGGATTTAAATAAGTTTCATTTTCTCCCCATTTTCCTTCATTATGAATATAACTATTCATTATAAGTAAATTCTTTAATTCTTTTGTTAAATTTAATTGTTTTTTGTATATTTCAGGATCAAAAATAAATTTTAATTGTAAAACAGTATTACCAACTTAAATAATTTAAATAATATAATTGAAAATTATGAAAATATCTGCTACAATAAATCTAATTATAATTAATTTTTCTAATTCGTAATTATTAAAATTGAATGAGTTAAAGCATTTGGCCACAGATTCATACTCGGGATTTTTATCGTAATTATTTGCAATTTTGCAAGGTCCGCTATAGGGTTAGATTTTCGAACCGGGCCGACGTTCGAGTCTTTTTAAGGTCTAAATTCGAGGCCCGGTTCGATTTTTCGAACCAACCCGGGCCCCCAACTCTAGTCCGCTATTTAGTAATCTAATGTTATAAATTCAAATGTCTCGTTAGTAAAAGGCAATAGTCATTCAAATAAAGCGCCTTTTAATGTTTGTCTGCGATTTAATTGTTTTAAATAAATATTATATTTAAATATTATTTTAACTCATTTCAATAATTATCTCGAACTTTTCAAATATTTTTTAAATAAATTCGATTTATTCATTATTTAATTTTTTAATTCTCACTTTTTTCGTTAAATTCATTAGCATCATTCAATAAATTTATTTCAAATTCTGTTTTCTCAGAAGAATTTTTTGATTGAGGAACATGAGCCAACAAACAAAGAATATTCCCTTCATTTTGTAAATGTTTTAATTTATATCTATTTATTTTTGTTTTTATTTTATTATTATTTGCAATATTTGTTGGTAAATACAATCCAATACTTCCATTTATCTTATTAAAATTTTAATTAACAAATTATTATTAAAAAAATTACCATAATATGTGTTATTGTTGAAATTGGGATTTCATTTACAGCGATATATGCACCTAGATATTCTCCATTAAATGTAATTGAATAATTGTAAATTTTATTATTTTCATTTGATATGTCAAAAATATCAATAATAAAATCAAATAAATCATTTTTATTTAATGTTATTCCATTTATTTGTATAGTCTCCCTCTTAAATTAGTTAATAATTTTCTTTGCTAAAAATAAATTTTAAATTAATTCTCCTTTTTGATAAGGAGCCAAATATTTTAGAAAATGAATTTTCTCTAATTATTATTTAATAAGGCACTTTTGAAATTCGGAAATTAATTCTGGAAACCCCACACAAAAATGTTTTTAAAATAAGAATTTTTTGACCTTAAGAGTGAACTGTTGAGAAATTTTAACTTACATAATTAGATTTAATTAATAATTTTTGTTCAGTAAAATCAATTTCAATTAATAATACCAAAGCACCCACTAAATTTCGAAATATATTTTTAAATTAATTATTAAATTTTTACATTTATTAGTTAATTCCATTACTTCATGAAGTAAAGCAACTTCCATTTTATTAATCTTTGGATTTCTTAAAATAAATCCTCGAATTATTATTCTTGTTCCGTTTTGAATTTCAGCATTTTTTAATGTATTTATAAAAGGCGTGTTTCTTACAGGTGCTGGCTAAAAAATTGTTTTTAAATATTTTAATTTGAAAAAATTTTTTACGTAAAGTTGATTGGAAGGCCTATGAAGACGATTTCTTCCAACTAAATGTCCAACACTGATCATTGATATCGGAACTAAATCACCAGAAATATGTACAGTTCCTTTAGTATTCTCATTAAATATTTTTTCATTAAACCAATTGCTCGGCCAAAAAGAATTTACGGACAAAAAATGTTTATCATTTTCTGTTGAAATCCAAAAATAATATGGTTGTAAAATTATATTAAAATATATATTATCTCCATAACTAAAGAATACTTTTTCTCCAATTTTATAATTACTTGGAAGTGTATGTTTAATCCAGGAACCTTTGAACTAAAAAATAATTTTTATTTTTAATTAATTTTTTAAATAATTATAATATCGCTGGAAAATGGTGATATATTGATACCGATATTATTGAACGACTACTAAAGTCCCGTCTCTATTAAAGATGTTTTATCTAAAGAAGATTGGTAAAACAAAAATTGGAAAAGTGGGCGTAGCAAACCTATAACGAAAAACTACCTAGGTATTTTCAATAAAGACCAAAAAATCTTTAACAATATTAAAAATAAATTAAATTAACATATGTACTTACATTTTTAACATCAAAATTAATTGAATAATTAGTTATATAAATATTTATTAATAAATTATCAATTTTAAATTTTAATTTTATATATTTCGCATTTTTATCAGGCATTAAAGCAAAAATAATAAATCTTTGTTTAATTTTGCCCAAATTAAATGTTTGATTTGTAAAACGTTTTTTGCAATGCTTTTCTTGTGTCAAATTAAGTATATCTTGTTTAAATGGTTTCTCAATTGTTAGAGGTGTTGTAAACTAAAAATTTTAAAATATTTAAAAACAAATACTTTTAATTATACCCTAGCCTGTAAAGCACATGTACATCCTCTATAAACAAATAAATTAATTAATCTCCCAGCTCTAATTGGCAATAAATCTAATCCAAGTGCCCACAAACCAGAATATTGATATAAATAGGCACCTTTATTTATTTTTGAAAGAAATTCTTTTTGAAGATTTTCTTCTTTCTTTTGGATTTCTTTAGCTAAATTATTTTAAATTATTTATCTCAAAAAATATTTAATTGCCTTCATCTCCCTCAAAAATTAAACGAGTAAATATATTATCTTTCTTCCCAAATTCTAATTTAAATGAATTATTTGATTCAAATTTATATCTAAATTTAAAATTAAAATTTAAAATACATATCCAAATAAATATACATTTCATCAGTTATTGACAAATAAATATTAACAAAAACAATTCCTTCCTTTATTTCTGTATTGATATATATTCCATGCCAAATTGAATGACCAACATTTCCGGGAGAACAAGTTTTGTTATTTTTTGGATTATTACAAAATGAAAGCCTTTTATTTTCGCATAAATCGGTTACTTTATTCTTTTATTTAAAAAAATTAAAATTATCTTAATTTTACACATTAAATTTTTCGGTCCAGAACCGACAACTGATTAGACTTGTCGGTTCTGGACCGAACCGAACCGAGAAAACCGAGGATTTTTCGGTTCGGCTCTTCGGTTCGGATTCGTATATCCGAAGAATTTTCAGGAACCGACAACCCTACTTATAATAAACAATATATGATAAAATAATTTCCTCAGTCAATTAAAAAAATATCATAATTTAATTATTATAGAATGAAATGATTTAAAAATTTTAATTTTTCTGACTAATCCTGCCCGTAGAAATTATTAAAAAAATATTTTAGAGATTAAGCGATATGCTATTTAAATAATTATATTTTTAAATAAATTACTTCAGTATTTATTAAACGATATGGAATTGAAGTAATCGTCCCATTTTTAGAATTTTCTCCCCTCAATTGGCTTGGATAGCAAATTAAAAGTCTAAAAATATTTTTAAATTATTTGTTTAAAAAAATTATATACCCTTCAGGTTGGCAAATAAACAAAGTTTTGAGAAAAAATTCCAAAGAATAAGAGCCAATTTTGTTTTGTTCTGGTCTTAACAAGCATTGATCATAAATTAAATAGGGAATTCTGTAATGATTAACACCAATATCAGTCAACATAAAACTTTAAAAGAATTTAAATAAATTTCAGAATTTAATTTTAAAAATATTTATTTATTACGTCTCTTCATCTTTTAATTCATTTTTTGATATATTTGGTTTATCCACAATTTTTGAAGCATTTCCTTTATGTTTACAATTTACATAATGCAAGAAAACCATTAATAAAATAAATATTTTTTTCAAAACATTAATAATTTTGATCATATTTATTTTATTTTTTTAACACTACAAATTAAAAAATAGTTTTAGAGGCAAATATGTACTTTAGTTTTAAAAGGATCTTGATCTATGTAGACCTTGATTTTTCCTGGATCCGCAAAGTTATATCGAGAGTTTTTTGATTTTTCCTTGACTAATGATCAAAAATCTGATCAATAAGGTCAAGTTCAAGATCATGGGGTTTTAAATTGTCAATCTCTACGAAGTATGTAATTTAAATTCGCTGATTTAATGTTTAAATTAATTTAATTTTACTATTCTACAAATAAATAAATTATAATATATGTAAGCTAAATAATATTTTTTATTTTAGATATTTACATAGATATATTAAAAAAGCAAAGTATGACTCATTTTGATTAGATAAAAGCATTCAATCGTGTTTTAAATAATTAATTACAAATTACAAACTAATAATATTAAAATAAAAGCAAATAATATGTAATTGAAAATTAAATAGAAAATTTAAACTTTAGAATAAAATAATTATCTCAAAAATTTCTTAACGAGAATCGTCTTCTTCTTTTGTTAATAGATCCATTAATTTGATAAGGACAAGGATTTTTACGGATTTGGAGATCAGATTTTCATTTCTGCTTCATGTCGGACAGGGTCAAGCTGTAATTCTACTCCTCCTTTAATAATAAATTCTGTATTTATCTAAACTCAATATAAAGCTCAAGATAATTTCCATGTTTTTAAAACTTAACTTTAAAAACTAACTAGAAAAACCTTCAGCCGATTCAGTGTTTAGTTATCATAACCTGTAAAATAAAGAGAAATTATTATGTTGCTCTTTAGTCAAGGATAAGTAAATTTAAATAAATTTTGTATTTTAATTTTATTAAATCAAAAAAATTATAACAAATACCTAATTTCATTAAATTAGACCCATACACTAAATATATTTTCTCTCAATTTGTCCTACACATTTGATTTTCTTACTTACTCCTCTAGTTCTCATAAATAAATAAATAAAAAAAATTTATTTAAATATTTTTATTTTCAGTACTTTAAATTCAAAAATTGATTATTTTTCCCTATTTAATTTCTTTAATTCCATTTTTATACGATCACAATGAGAAGCGAGCAAAAACATAAATCCATGAATTTGCGAGAAAAATAAGCGCAGAAAGTGACAATTACATTTAAAAATAAATAAATTTATAGAAAAAGAGAGTTTTTGTGAATTTAATTAATTAATTACTTTTCTTTCTTTATATCTTTCCATTCAAATAATCATGCAATCATTTAATGACTACAAACAAAAGCTAAATATCTCTTTAGATAATTATTCGATAATTTCTTTTTTGATTAAAGCTTAATTAAATAATCGTTAAATAATTAATTAAAAATTAAATAAACTATTCAGGATTCTGAATATATATCTGAAATTTTGGAGATATTTTTTGGAGAGTCTCTGATAGGATCAATTCTTTCAACTCCCACTCTCCCTTTGTTGCTATACTAATTAAACTTGACTATAATTTTGATTAGTATTTTGTTAATTTTCTTTTCATTGAATACGTTATTTGTTTAATTTTCATTAAAAATTTAAATACTCAAAATAATTATTAATTAATTAATTTTTTTATTAAAAACAACAAATTAACAATGCCTCTATTATTTATCATAATTTTTCAATTAATTATAAATGGAATTAAAGCAGAGGAAAGGGCGGAAGTAGATATTAGGGTTTCTGGAGCTTGCAGTCCGAGTATTTATTTTTAATTATTTTTCATTAAATTAAATATTTTAACGAAATAAATATAAATTTTTAACGATTTTTATGAATTATATTCGGATTATAACAGCAAGAGAATAGCTGTACTATCTATTCTAAATTTATTTTTGCTTACATACATAGTATAATTTCTGAACAATAACCAACCCCATTTTATATCCTTCACATTTATTTAATAAATTCGATAAAATAACTAAAATAAAAATAAACTTAAATCTTGCTTTGATCACTATCTAATTTAAATTTTTCAAATTTACTTAAAAAATATCAAAAAAATTTTACAAATTTTTTTCAGTTTATTTGTCAAGGAGAGGAATTGATTTAGGCAAATACCGTCCGTTGATACGTTTCAATCCGGATAAAGTTCAACTTATACCTAAAAACCCAGTAATACCTGGATGCGTTAAAATAAAAGCAGAAGGTGTTGAAATACTTAAACCTATAAAGAATTTATTTGCCGAAATAGAAATGAGAATTGGTGGAAGGTATTGTTTTGTTTTATAAAACTTTAATTAAATTATTACGATGACATACTTTCCTTGTGGATTAAAATTTGTTAGATCACTAAATGCAAATGTTTATTTTATAAATAAATTAAATCTATCCTACCTTTGAAAATTTAATTTTATAAAAGTTCTAATCTTAAAACCAAGTAATCTCTTAATAATATTAAAAATCATTTTTAAAGCCCAGACCCTAACAATCCAACACTTCCTTGTACAAAAAGAATTGATGACAAAGTAAATCAATGTCCCTGTGCTAAAACAGAAGGATCTTGGTTACTAATTTATTTAAAAATAATTTTTAATTTAATTTTTAAAAGTGTTTTTTGTGATTTCTGCAGACAATTACGGGCACAACAATCAAAACTTTCCATTACAGAAACATCAAAAAGAAAATTAAAAAATAAATCTGGAGATGAAGATTCTTTAGAAGAACAGTGTAAATGTGAAACAATGCAGCCAGGACTATATGATATTGAAACAGAAATGTGTACTCCAGAATTGGATGATACAAAACAATATATACCTACAGAACTACAAAATAATGTTTTGGAAAAAACGCCTGTTTGTTATTTAATGAAAATAATTATTTTTAAGATTTTGTCAAGTCCATTAAAAATTAAACAATTATTATTTTAAATTAAAAAAGATTGAGAATTAATCAAAATTATTCTAATAGTAAGAGCGAGGTAAAAGTACCTCATGGCAGTTATTGCTAGGCGCTTTCAATCACTCTCTACAAACTGAGTTACCGGGACGGTGCTTTCACCGTCTCTTTTAATAGATCTTAAACCCCCGCCTAGTGAACATTTGAAATGCTAGCCAGCTGGATCTTTCTCTTCCTTACATAATTAAAATTTTATTTAAATATTAAAGTAAAAAATATTTTTATTATTGCTTTTTAGATTTCAATGTTCATAACAGTATATTTAATGGATTTACAGACAAATCCAAACGAATCATATTTATCTGCATTTGGAAAAGCTATACTTCAGTAATTAAATAAATAAATAAATTTAAATTATTTAAAAATATTTTAAAGAAGAAGAATGGCACAAAGCACGGTTGCATGTTTCCTAATGGGTTTAGATGTAACCCTTGGAGTAAATGAAAATAAACAAACACAACATTCCTCTACCTCGAATGAAGAATAAAATAATATTTTTTGAATTTATTTTTTAATAAATTACTATTTTATGTTTTGCTCTGGTTTAGGATGAACTTTCCTTGGATAAAAATTAGATAATGACCAAAAAACTTTTTGGAAGTAAACAATTTTGTAGAAATAATTTCTAAATGAGAGCTTTTATTTTTTATTTCGAATTCAATTTATTATATTCTTTCTTGTAGTTTTATTACTAAAAGTCATTAAAAATGAAATATATAACTTAAGAATCTTGTTGAATTTTCATTTTTTTCAAAAATTCATATGTATTTTAATCACTTCTTTTCAAGAAATTTTCAAAAAAATTGGAAAATTTAAAGCTATCCATAGGATAACATTGAAGTTGATGAGAAAGAATTAAGCGCATAAAATGCTCATTTTCAATAGCAACATTAATTAAACGAATACATTCATCCAATCTTTGAGCCCCTTCAACTAAACCTAATCTTCGTTGATTATATTGAAGTAAGATTTTTGTAAATTTAACAGATTCGTTATAGAGGTGTTCCTTTCCATCAATAGACAAGTCTTCAGCATCTTTTAGAAAAATTAAAGTTTATTTAAATTGAAAATTAAAAAAAAACTAAAATAAGAAGACAATACATATGTAGAAGTCTTCATTCTTAACTTCTGAATTATTTTATGAAAAATTCTGAAATTCTTAAGGAAGTGCCTTAGAAATTTTTTGTGCCTTAGAAATTTAAAACTTAATAACATATTGAAATAATTTTTCTAGAAGATAAGACCTATGCTATCTTGTAGCAAATTTTATGGGCTTTCGAATAAGCCCAAAATGAAAATTTAAAACAAAACATAAGGGGTCGAAAATATTTTTTAAAGAGCCCTACCCCCTATTTACGTTGATTTTCGAGGTATCTGGATCTCGACACTGAAGTGAGATATGGGTCTAATTTTTTTTATTTTTTCTTAGAATCGATAAATATGGTAGCAAAAATTTTTGTAGATTTTTCCTAATATTAGAAACTCGAAATTTCAAAATGGCGCTATACTTTTGTGGAACCCTAAAACTGGGGATTTGCCTATAACAAACGAAAAAATTGATTTGGAAACAAAATTTTTTTATGAAACTGATTTTAGACCACTATTTATTATTACAAAAAAGTCTAAAAATAAAAACCCCGGTTAAAATATTGAAACCGAGACAAATAGGGGTGGCGCTATACTTTTGTGGAGCAGTGTATGTAGAAGTCTTCATTCTTAACTTCTGTATTTTTTTATGAAAAATTCTGAAATTCTTAAGGAAGTTAATATTGCTATTACCGATAGTTTGAAAGCATATATTAAAAGCACATTTTAAAGCACACATATGCCCGGCCTACTGAAGATGCTGGTTCGCTCCCAGCCGCTGAATAACCTTTAGCTGAAGGAGAGACAAATAGCTATACCCCAGCTCTGCTTTACTAATCTACGCAAAATTTCAAGATTTTAAGTGCCCATTTATCTAATTTTAAAGAGGGTAACCAAACGTTCGTTCGCCCTTACAAATTAAAGTTTTTACTTGATTTTGTGAAAATAATAGCTATTAACAAAGCAAATTCAATTTTTGTTAATGCAACACGTTTAAAATGAACAACAGATTTTGTAAATAAAAGTTCCGTCAATTTAATCATTCTAAAAAATAAAAAAATATTTTTCCTGTTTTTTAAATTTACCGATCATGATATAAATATTGACAATCCTTCATATTACCAAGAGCAGGAATAACACAATCTTTACGTGTCCAAGTTTCAGAGCCTAATTCCCAAGCTAGATAAGAACCAGTAAATGCAGTAAACAAATAAGAAATATGCCTTAGATGTGCAATCTATTTTATAAAAAGAAAAATATGTTTTGAATTAATCAAGCTTTTTCGTTTTTTGTCATTTAACTCAACTTCAATAATGATTTAATGCCGCAGATTATCCCATCCCTCATTAATCCCACACCATATGAAAAAACTGATTTGAACACTTATAGAAAACCCCATCATAGTGTTGGTTAGGTGCACAAGTGGGTATGCTTTGGTCTGGGTCTATTCCCAAATAATACTCATACATAAATCTATAACAAGACTAATTATATACCTGATCAGATAAAGTCAATTTATCAAAAACAGGCATAAATTTAGCTATACCAACACACACGAATCTGTCAACTAAAAAATATTTGTGACAAAGTTTGTTAAGCATGTTCTCATCTTGTACTGAAGATTCCCTACAATTTAATTCCCAAAAAGATATTGGATTTGAGCTTTGCTTCAAAATTAAAAAAATAATTTTTATTAAAAATTAAATTAAAATTTACCGAAAGATTGTAAATTAGACTAGAAATGTTTAAATTAGATAAAATTATTTCTTCAAACAAAATCGGGCCATTAAGGAATATACTACCCTCCAAATTATCTAATGAATGCATAATACGTTTTTTGGCTTCAATAATTGCCAAAATTGACTCAATTTGTTTTTGATCATCGATGGATATGTCGACAGTTGGAGGATTTGGAAGCTTAAAAATTAAGAGCTTAGCAAATGTTTAACTTCGGGGCAGGATTTAAACTTCAACAATATTTGACAGTATCGCTTTATCTCCCTTAGATCGTTTTATCATTTAATTTATTATAAAAATATCATAATATATAATTAAGAATAGAAATACATGATAAGATATATTCTATTATAAACAAAAATATTTGTCGGATTTTTGGATATTCTGCTTTTAATGGGGTTTTATTTAGGTTTTTAATTTAATTTCCGATTAAATTTTTGACTACATACATATGTATGAAAAGAAAACTTAAAAGTAAAGATGAAAGTCTGGAAATTATAATGTACGGGAGAATCGTTAAAATGAAGAAAATTTTGATTTGTTTAAATTGCTGCTCAATTATTAATGCAAACTTTTAAGTTTGAAAAAAATTTTAAAAAAGTTTTAAAATATCCCCTTTCCCTTTCCAATTAAAAAAATAAATTTACGTTAATTTGATTGTTTTGTTTTCTCATTGCTTCCAGGCATATATCTTGACGTAAATATCCAATATCTACAATTCAATTATTTTTAAATTTTTATTAAATATTTTAGATAGGGTAACATCCCGAGTGGTCGAGAGTGTCGGGGATGGGAGGGCATGTTAGGGTTGAATTTTGAGACAACCAACCAATCTTTTCAGCTATCAAAGACGATAAACCATTCGGACTATGTTTGGGGGACGGGGCGTTACTTTTATCTTAACAAACCCAATTTTTTCATTCCAACAGAAAGACATTTTTCAAGTCTACATTTTTGACATTTTGCTAAATTTGTTTGGGATTTTCCGTCTTTATTCTCTTTTAACAATAGTTTTTGCAAACATTTACATGTATATTTGCATTCTCCTTCACTTTCAAGATAACGCCTTTTAAAAGAATTTTTCCAAATTAAATTTATTTAGAAAATACCTGAAAAAAGCCCCACAAGCCCTACATGTACAAACTCCATAATGAAAACAAACATTTACTTTTGACTCACAAACTTTGCATTTTTTAACAAAGTTTCTTTGCATTTTTAAATTAAATTGGTATTTTTTCTAAAAAATAAAATGTACTAAATAAAGCGAAAGTCTTTTAACACTGCCTAATTAAATAGATAATTAATGAATAAAAGAGAGGGGATGTTATGTTCTTTTATTTTGTTTTTTAAATCAGTTTTGGTAGATCTATTTTCTGCAGAGCTCTGTGAAGCTATGTATTTGTTTAATTTTTCTATCTATCTATATTTTTTAATTACCCTATTTTATGTTGATTTTGTTCTCTAAATCGGGGAATTTATTGTTTATGTCGGCTAGATCCCTGGGATATATAAGAATATAATATATACTGTAAAGCATATAGCTATTTAATTTCAAAGGCTAAGAAGGAGGCGACGAGGGGTAAATGCATAACAAACATATCAGTCCGACCTATCTTTTACATAAGCTGAAGGAAAAATAGCTAGCACAGTTCAGCTTTATTTGACTGTGTTTTTGAAGATTAATTAAGAAGGATAATTATTTGAGTTAAGGAAATTATTGTTTCAATCCTTCAATAAAGAGGGTAATAAAATAAAACTGATTTTAAAAAGCTAAAGACTGCGGGGCTATACTGGACACACTCCGGTTATATAAGCTTATAAAATATTAGAAATAAATATTTTCGTTTAATTTCATAAATACAAAAATTTGTTGGCAAAAATTGATATATTCAATTCAAAAAATTCCCTCCTAAGCAGTTTTTCAATGGCTATGTAAAACGTATTTCATTTTAATTTTTGCCTTTTTCGTTTGAGATTTGGCTAAACAAATAAATTTTCTAAATAAAATTTGAACGAGATCTCCAAAGACAGGCAAATTTTGTTGATGGGATAATATATCGTTTGGTACAAAAAACGAACTATCGTGGCTAGAATGCTTTATTCGATAAACAAAATTTCTTTTCAATTACAAAAATAAAAATTAAAAACG